CCCCAAAACCCCAAAACCCCAAAACCCCATATATTATTGTTAGGATTGAGACTAATTATAAAATAATTTGAAGTTAGATTCTTTGTAAGTATGAATCCTCATATTAAGCCTCTAAACCTAATGAGTATACAGCTTTGGAACTTATATTAACCGAATGCTTTAGAGTAAGGCATGAGCCAACAAAAAATCTCTAAGAAAAAAGTAACTTTCAGTGATTATGACGAGGTTGAAATAATTGATGAATGGGCATTGGTATATCGCACAGGTAAGTATCTGACTTGATTCTTTCATCCTTGAAGATTTGTAAGAGCGCTCAGACTCTAGTTCTAGGAATTCATGCTTATATGTCCAAAATTTGTCATCAAAATTTCATGAAACCCTTCGTTGATCAATTTCTAATAGTATCTTTTAGAAGCGAAGAAACCAAGAAAATCTATTGTTTCCAAAAAGCCGAGGAATAATGATTTAAGGACTTCTCTACTCAGTTCTCGTGAAAACCTCAAACATAGGAAAGCCTTAGCTAGGTAAGCCTTTTCCTCGATTATCTTGTCTATTTTGCTCATTTCAAGTTGCTATTGAAAATTCGGCTAAAAGATATGCACAGCTTTACTAAGAGCTAGGATTCGACACACTTCATAGCTAAGAATACTCAGTTTTGAAAATTGGAGTCCAGTACCTCTCTTCCTCAAAATCCCCTGACCCTTCCTCTTCTTCACCCAGCCCCTTTAAATTCCCCATCCAAAAACCCTGCACCCAAATCTGACCTCTTCCACCTCTCTGTTACACCAAAGTGGTGCATAAAGAGCCAATCTGTAAAATTTTCTTCCTCCCTATAAACACCAGATTCTTTAACTTTCAACGCTATTTCCAACCTGAGGACCAGCCAGGACCCTAATTCCCCTTCTGAGCAACTGACATGGTATAGGAACAAGAGGAAGATTGGGCTGGAGAGCTTGAGAAAGTTGAAGACGGTTAAGGCAAGTAGTCTACAGAAGAAGCTCAGACTGAAAAAGTTTCAACATAGGCTGCTTAAGAAGGTAGGTGCTAAGATTTCATCAAATCCTGCTGTAAAGCCACCTACCAAACCCTGCATATCTCTCCGTAAAAGCTTGCCTTCTCTCACCCTCTGTGAAAAATACTCCAGGCCCCAAGTAGCTAAGCATATCCATGTCGATTTGACCTCTCCCAGAAAGAAAGAACAATTCAGTGCTCATGAATCACTGAATATTTATTATAAAACTGGTACTGTAAGAAGCCCTCTGCATGCTCCTAAAGAGAGCCTGAACAGCAGTACGCTCACAGTTGGGAATATGAGGAAGCATACTCTTAGACAGAACAGAAGCATTAGTAATGAATCATTGGTAGGAGGCCTGATTTCAGGCAAGAGATCTTGAGTCTCCAACTACACTCTTCTGAAGCAGTCCAAAGTTGTAAGCATTTAGATTAACTTAGATTTACTTTGTCTATTGTGTTACTAATTCAATAATGTTTAGGATGAACCCAAGTCAAGCATGACACCTCATATTGGACAAGTATTATGCAATCTAACACCAAACGGAGGAAGTACCCTATCAATGACGTCTCCAGTAAGAGGGCTTGCAAATCTAAGCGTCATTAATCCAGCTCTGTCCATTTTTGGAGAAACTGTTCTAAACAGAGAAAGCATTACACCAGTACAACAATTCACCAGCAACACTAACCTCAACCCAAACAACATCAACAAAACAACCGAGGGTGAACAATTCCGGAGTGATCTCGAAGAAACAATCTCTCTTGCTCAATGTAGCACTGATGAATTTTCTCCTGACTATAACTAACTAGAGTGATTCATTGTTCAATCTCAGTGCCTTGTCCCGGGGTTTTGGGGTTTTGGGGTTTTGGGGTTTTGGGG